TGTGAGACCCCCGCTGTGGCCTGTGTCCTCTCAACCTCATCTCTGATGTCACTTGTTGTTGTTTTTAAAGATTTATCTATTTATTTACTTGACAGGCAGAGCCACAGAGAGAGGGAGACACAGAGAAGAGAGACAGAGAGGTCCTCCATCCACTGGTTCACTCCCCAAATGGCAGCAATGGCTGGAGCCTGGCCAGTCTCAAGCGAGGAGCCAGGAGCTTCCTCTGAGTCTCCCACAGGGGTGCAGGAGCCCAAGCACCGGGGCCATCTTCTGCCACCCCCTCTCCCCCTAGGCTACCAGCAGAGAGCTGGATCGGAAGTGGAGCAGCTGGGACTTGAACTGGCGCCCATATGGGACACCACAGCGCCACCCCTCTCCCGGATTCATTTGTTTTCACTGTTTTATCATTTGCCCCCCTCCCTCCTTGGTGCAGGGGTGCAGGGGTGCAGGGGAAGCAGAGGGCACAGGCAATCTTCCTGAAGCGCCAGCCCAAGCTTGCTTCCCCAGCGAGGGCCGTCTGTTCCAGGAAGGACCTGCTTCTCGGCACATCGCTCTATTTTTGCAGCCGAGCCAGCTGCCCCATGCCAAGGTTTCTTACCGCAAATAGAACTTCTGGAAGGGCCTGCTGGTCTCCTCTGGGCGTTCAGACACCTCGTCACGTTGCACTTGGCTTCCGCTCTCCAGCCCCAAAAGGAAACTGTTGAGTCCCCTCTGCTGCCACTTGCTGCAGGCATCTTTTGACACTCTCTCGGGGGACTCCACTGGGCAGGAGCGACCTCGCCTTACTCCTGGCCCCCGGCCTCTGGCACACTGCTCTGCCGCACCCAGGAAGCTGAGCCCGTGCCAAGCTGAAGTCTCCTCCCTTCCCCAGCCCCTCCAAGTACCTCCTGACCCCACCTGTCACTTGAGACACCAAGTGTCACGGACAACGTGATCTATAACTAAGGTGCCTACGGCGGGAAGCTTGGAGTCGGAATGTTCTAGAAAAAATTTCTTAGTGTTGAATTATTGGGTGGAGTCACGAGCTCATCGGGGATGGCAGACGAGGCCAGAACCACACATGTGCACGCCTGAAGCCGGAGGCCACGCAGGGAAAGATTCTTGTGCAGGCACGCCCTCAAGGCAGGGTGCCGAAGATTCCAGAACAAACCCGGTCGTTTGAAAGGCTCCCACATTATGTAAGTGTCTCGGGCAGTGTGGCTGTTAGTTAACGGCCCAGCCTCTGGCACACAAACTGGGTTCAAGTTGCAGTCTTGCCACTTACGAGCTGTGTGACCTTAGGCTATTTCTAAACTGCTCTAAGCTTTCGTTTCCTCTCCCCAGGGAACAGAGTGGATCAACAATAATAATAATGTGCCTGGCACATAATAAACCTCTCAGTATGAATAACAAGTGTTTACAAAAGCTAGATCTTTAACACGAGAGGAAGAGTGGCATTTTTACTGGGTCCAAATGATCCAAAGGAAAGATCCCATCTCGCTCAGCAGTGCCGGCTTCGAATGGGAATGAGAGATGGAGGTGACATTTCCCTTGGATTGGCTCCCAGCTGTCACAGGCTCAGGGACAAACAAGTGTGCTGCTCTCCTCTCTTCACTGACGCAGCTGCCCCCGAAACCAGGGCTCCCAACCTGTGCAGGCCCCAGCATCACCCGCAGGTGCCCCAACTGCTGGGCCCTGCCCTGGAGTTTCTCAGTAGCACTGGAGGGAGTCCCCAAGGATTTGCATCTCCACTGGGCTACCAGGGGATGCTGATGATGCCTCTGGACCTCAGCCACACGTTGACAACAAGGAGAGTCAATGACCAGTTTGCAGTCCCCGTGTCTGCTTCTTCTGGGGAAGGAGATCCGGGGCTTTGTCACTTTCCACGACCTCCACTACTCAGGAGGCGGCCTCCTGGGTGCCGCGACGCCAGCCCGACAGTCCTCTGGCCAGTGCAGACATGGAAAGCAACTTGGCAGAGCATTTCCCAAGCTCCCGGGTGCCACACGCCGCCCCTCCTGCATCTGCAAGGCTGCCCCGTAAGCTTCATGGCTGCCTGTGACTGGAGGGGAGAGGCTGTGGAGATGGGTGCAATTCCCTATTCCTAGAGATGGGGAGCGGAGGGGCACTCTGGCCCCAATTGCGTGCATTGACTCCCGACGTCTACAGGAGAGATGAGAGACAGACAGGGAGGAAACGTTCCGGCCACCGTGGGTCGCTCTGCACTTCTCCCTTCCTCGTGATGCCCCTCATACGGGGGACGCTGCCCAGTCCCGGTCAGGCTCACGGGCTGCAGTAAGACATCCTGGGGTCTGAATTCTTGCTGTGCTGTGGCCTCCCTAGCAAGTTACCCAAACTTGCTGAGTTTCAGTTTTCTTTCAGTAGGGATAGCAGTGATAGGATCCTTCAAAAAGTTGGTGCAAAGTGGAACTAAAAGGCAAGTTTATGTGGGAATCCACACAACGGGTCTTCAAGAGCTTCAGCATCCCATACGGGCACTGGTTCGAGTCCCAGCTGCTTCTATTCCAATCCAGCTCCTTGTTAATGGCCTGGGAAAAGCAGTGGAAGATGGCCCAAGTGCTTGTACCCCTGCCACCCATGTGGGAAACTTGGAAAAAGCTCCTGGCTCCTGGCTCTGGTCTGGTCCAATGCTGGTCACTGTGGTCATCTGGGGAATGAACCAGTGGATGGAAGACCTCTCTCTGTTTCTCCACCTTTGTTAACTCTTTCAAATAAATAAACGAGTCTTTAAAAATGCATATGAGGAAAACACTGCATGGACAGCACCTACACCAAAGTATCAGTTGGGGGCAGGTGTCTGGTGCAGTGGTCAGAGTGCCTGGCCCAGAGTCCTGCCTCCGCTTCTCATCCAGCCTCCTGCTCATGCGCAACCTGAGAACCCCCAGATGGCCACTCACCCGCGGGGAATACCTGGACTGAAATCCTGGCTCCAGCCTGGCCCAGCTCTGGCTGTTGTGGGCATCTGGGGAGTGAACTAGAGGATGGAAGATCTCTCTCTCTCTCTCTGACTCACTTCACCTTTCAAACAAAACTAAACTTTAAAAAAGTATAGAAAAAAAATCACACAATGGGGTGGAAGACATTTCACTTTCAGGAGGTAAGGATGACAGACCACAGGGCAAGTTTCTTTCTCGATGGAAAGCTCTAGAGAGCAGGGTTCTGTTTGCCAGGTGGGGGAAGCACCTGATGCCTCCTGATGTGAGAAAACAGTGCAGCGATTCGGGGGAGGCCCCTGTGAGCTCTTGCTACTTGTGGGTCTGGTCTCACAGGTAAGGAAAGGAAGCTGAGAACGGGGCGGGTCCCCAGGCTCACACACTCGGTGGGCGTGGCTCAGATGCAAGCAATCAGAGTCCAGATGTCCCGCAAGGCAGACACTGCCTCTAAGCCCCGTTAGTAATGGAAACTTCCTGAGGATGCCACTGGCCAGAGCGTAAGCAAGAATGAGCAAACGGAAAAGGGAGACAATGTCGGCTCTGAGGCTGCATGAGGTGGGTGCTGGCACCACACCCTCCGCTCAGGACACTGTGGACCTCTCACTCAGCGCCCCTGGGCGGCGGAGAACCAGAAAACACCCACCAGGCCCCTTGTTGTCCCCATTCAGACCCAGTGCAAATGCCTGTGCTTTGCTGAATCAGTCCCCGAGCAAGGTCAAGGTCATCTGTAGGCACAGAGCCCGGGGAGGCCTCACATTTTTTACCTCTTTCAGCAAGTGGAGGGCAACCTGCTGGCTAGCACTTGTTATTCCTGAGTAAAAAGAATGACTAGGAATGGCCACTCTGGATGGCTGGAAATAAGAGGCTGTGTGAGCCCAACAGGGCGCAGAGGGCGATGTGGAGAGTCGTGGCTCCCCCCAGCATCGGCGGACAGCGGGGAACACGCTCAGTCCTACATTTTCAGCAGTCTGGCTCTTGCTCACCCAAGTCCTGCTGGGAAACCCAGGCTCCCCTGCCCAGGCTTTGGACACCTGTGAGGGCAACCAGGGGAAGAGCCCTGCCCCCTACAAGGACTTCCTTCTGCTGGAAAAGGCAAGTGTCGAAGGCTGCTGACGGGTTCCCCGGCTGGCAGGGGGATGATGGCAAGACACTGCCATGGATAAGTGCCTGGGCCTTGTGCGGTGCCCAGGGCTTCATGGCACTCAGGGCTTGGCATGGCCAGGCAGGGATCCTCGTCGGCAGCCTTTCTGGTCTAGAAAGACTTCTCTCTCTCCCCCAAAGACAAAAAAGTAAAAATAAAGGGCCTTTTTTGTTATCCTCTTTTCTTATTTTTATTTATGTTTGAAAGACAGAGATACATTTTTCTCCAGAAGTCTACAACAGCTGAGAGAGAGAGAGAGAGAGAGAGAGAATGATTTTTCCCCAAAAGTCTACTAAGGCAGGGCCAAAGCAACACCAAGAGCCAGAACTCAGTCTTGGTCTCCCCTGGGGGTGGCAGGAGCCCAGGTACGTGGGTCATCACCTGCTGCCCCCCACAGTGTGCCCATCAGCGGGACGCCGGCATTGGTAGCAGAGCTGGGACTTGAACCTGGGCACTTCAATGTGGGAAGTGGGCGTCCCAAGCAGTGTCGTAACTGCTGTGCCAAACACCCAGCCCTTCTCTTTCCTGTGGACAAGGGTTATCTTGTGAATACCTCTCCATTTACAGACCCTCTCGGCTGGCGAACCTGTAGCATTTTCATCAAGCCCAGCCAGCGCCAAGAACTTCCCAAGTTCAACATAGCAGCCTGACCAGAGAAAGCAAGAGCCCGAGGCAGAAACAGGCGTGCAGCTGAAGACAAACCGCGCTGCTCTCTCTTAGCAGGGAGCAGATGGCTCGTACGGGAGGGCGGCTCACGGCCAGCAGAAACTCGAACCAGCCCTCGGGTCTCCCATTTCCCTTCCTCGACAAAATCAGAGGCATCGATTTACTCCATGAATCATTTGGGGGCAAAAAAAGATTTCAGTTGAAGGAATGAAACTCAAGTCATGAGATAAAAAAAAAAAAAAAAACAGGAGTCCAAAAAAAGTGAGCTATTTTTAACACTCAGTCATGGACAGGGTGGCCTGGCCGGCCTGCACATCCACTGAGTGTCCTAGCATTTTCCTCTCCATGCCAGAAGTGCTGCAGCAGCGTGAGCACTGTGCTACCGCTCAGTGTAGGAAGGGCACGCTTTCCACACTCACGTGCTGTGACACACACTGTTAGGCCGCCAGGGCTGGGGCGGAAGCACCAGAGCCACTCAGCAGCGAAGCTCTCTGCAGATGGTGAGGAAGAGCAGGACGTCAACTCCCACGCCACGTCACGCACAAGGTGAACCCCAGGGGGAGGCCTCTGGCCCAGAGGTTAAGGTGCCAGGTAAGACACCCACATCCGGGGCCTGTGTTGTGACGCAGTAAGTGAAGCTGCCGCCTGCGATGCCCAGCATCCCATGTAGGCACTGGTTTGTGTCCTGGCTGCTCCACTTCCGATTCAGCTCCCTGTTAATGGCCTGGAAAAAGCAGTGGAAGATGACCCAAGTGCTTGGGCCCCTTCCACCCACGTGGGAGACCAGGATGCAACTCCCGGCTTCGACCTGTCCCAGCATTAGCAGCTATGGCCACCTGGTAAGTGAACCGGTGGATGGAGGATGGCTCTGCCTGTCTCTCCCTCTCTATAACTCTGGCTTTCAAAACAAATAAATAAAAATAATATTTTTAAAGATGCCCACATCGCACACTGGACCACCAGGGTCTGATACCCAGTTTCGGCTCGAGACTCCATCTTCCTGCTGATGTGCACCCTGGCCTGGGACGGCAGCAGGTGATGACGGCTCACGTAATCGGGTTCCCACCACCCATGTGAGAGACCCAGATGGTGTTCCCGGCTCAAGGCTCCTGTCCAGCCTGGCTGGGCCACTGTGGGCATTTGAGAGTGAACCAGAAGATGGAAGCTCTCTTTCCCCGTCTTTGTCTTTCTTTGTCATCATTCAACTAACCAACAAACTAGTTGAACATTCACTATAAAGTTTAGTCCCACAAACCTCCAGACATAAACTCATGTCACACTGGGGCTAATGACAGCATGGCATACTCAGGAGGGGACTGCACTGTTCGTAACAGAACTGCAACAAGAAGTGAGAGGAGGGATGGACGGTTGAGGCCGGCAAAATGGCAGCTGCACAATCTAGGTGGTGAGTGCATGGGTGCTCCCTGCCCTGGTTCCCCCACATCTCTCTGTGGAACTGTTCATAATCGAATATTGAGCTGGGGAGTACTGGGCCAAGGATTAAGCTACAGACACGGGTGGGGCCACAGTGCTCAGGCTCCCAGCCCGTTGTCAGCAATCAAAGGACTACCAGGCCATTCGGGAAAACAGAGGTCTCCAATTCTACGCCTGCCTCCAGTGGGCTAAGTATCAGGCAGCTCTCAACCACAATGCCATTGCCACCATGCACCCCTGGGCCCCAGGGCCGGGATACCAGGAGCATCAGCCTAGGGTTTTATGTCTCAAAGAGGGCTCAAGAAGGCCTGGTATACATGGTTGTGGTGGGAGAAGTGGACCTACCTAGCTCGCCTGTTTTTTTAAAGATTTATTGTATTTATTTGAAAGAGTGACAGAGAGAGGGGAACACACATACACACACACACACACACACCATTCTCCTACACACTGGTTTACTCCTCAATGGTCCCAATGATTGAGGCTGGGCCAGGTGGAAGCCAGGAGCCAGGAACTCCATCCAGTCATGCACATGGTGGGCAGGGGTCCAAGTACTTGGGCCACCTCCTGCTGCCTTCCTACTGCATTGGCAGAGGAATTGATCAGCCAGGACCACAACTGGTGCTCACACATGGGATGCCCTTCATGCCATAACACTGCCCCTTCTTTTTTATTTTTTAAAGATTTATTAGTTATTTGAAAGTTAAAATGAGAGAGACAGAGAGGGAGACACAGAGAGAAGGATCTTCTATCTGCTGGCTCACTCTCCAAAGGCCCTAATAGTAGAACTCCATCCAGGTCTCCCACATGGGTAGCAGGGGCCCAAGCACTTGGGCCATCCTCTCCTGCTTTCCCAGGTGCATTAGCAGGGAGCTGGATGCAACATGGAGCAGCAGGGCCTTCTCCGACTGGTTCTTCTTATAAAATGAAGTGTAAGGAAGGCCAGGAGCTAACACTGTGGAAGGCAAGGGAAGCACGGGAGGCCCCCCCCCGGGGGGGGGGGAGGTGTCCTTGGCCTCTGCAGCCAGTCAGCCAGCCAGCCAGTTGTGCCTCACATTCCTCAGGTGGGGCCGTTTACCCCCAGGGCTCAGCTCCTGACCCAAGAAGGGGGCAGAGGTAAGAAGAGGAAAAAAAAAATCAGGAACAGCAGGTTGAGTGGCTTCTTCAGAATGAAAATATCTGTATAGGGAGCAAATACATCGTTCACTTGTTACAAAGAAGGGAAAAGCCCAGGGTCCTATGAAAATTTCTTTAATTTCATCTTCTGGAAATACAGGTTTCATTTTTATCTCCATGATACAAAAATGGTAAATATCTGACAATGACCTATATGAAGCAGGAGTACTGACACAGATGTGTGGGTCTCGTCACTGCACAGAGAAATGGCTGCTACACGCTGTAGCGTGGTTGGGACTTCCCACACGCCACCTGAGCCAGACAGACACAGACAGAGAAGACGACCAGGCCAAGACACCGGAAGGCGGACACGGCGTTATGGGGAAGAACAGAGCTTCAGTCTTTGACCCCGCCCATGAGAAACATCTGAATGAAGTGCGTGAAGGCCAGGGCTCCTGCATGGGCTGCTGTTGATGGACTGAGCGCCTCATCTGCAGGCGGCGCTGGCGGGAAACGGGGACACAGAACCCACGGACCACAGCTGCCCCCAAAACCAGGGCCCGAGAAGAGGCCGCCGCGAGCCTCCCGGCCGTGGGCTGTCCTCACACCTCTCACAGCAGGCCGCCCCCCGGGTGGGTTCTCAAACACGCAGTTCACGAAGCAAAGGTCTCACGGGAGTCACAAGTGGTTAACTGGTTAATGTCGTACACATCCGTGACAGTCTGCAACTGTGGTGAGTGCCAACACTTCGTTTAGATTAAAAAGGGAGAAGGGAGACACAGCCACAAAAATAAAAACTGTTATCTTTAGGAGACACCTGTGGCCTGAACCCCTCCCGCACCGCATTCTCCAGGACTAGTACAGCTTGGCTTCCAAACGTGCCGCGGGCCCCTGCGCGGCAGCCCTGTGCTCGCTTCGTGCCGTCCTGGTTACCACGTGTCGGGAACTTCAAAGAGGTTGGCAGGGCTGCCCGAGACGCTTCCTGGGGGGAACAGACAAAGCAGAATCAAGGACAGCATGAGCACCTTGGGTTGCAGAGCCAGGGCGCCCAGCACGGGGCAAAGGCAGCCTGGGACGGGTGGGTGTGGACAACTGTGCGGCCCCTGTGGGAGAAGTCCCCAGTCGGGTCTTGTCCCTGGACGCTGTCCGGGCAACAAGGGCGAACCACAGGCCCATCACGGGGGTGGGGGCTGGGGAGTGGACAAAACACTTCCCTCCACCTCCGCCTCGGACTGCCTTGATTTCTTTATTTTATGGGAATTAGACATGCATATTACAATTTCTGTCTTGTTGAACACACACTGCTCAAGTATGCATGGATTGTGAAAAATATTTTTGCACCAAAATAAATTGAACTTTTAATTCCATTTTCTGTGAACTTTTGGAAACACCCCCATATTTCTTACGAGCAACAATGCTGGGCTCTTAATTCGCTTAATCTTCAAAAAAAGCACACCCCGGTGCTATCAATATGCAAGGCCAAACTCAGAGCTAGGGCGACACGCCCAGCCTCACACAGCTAGGAGTCAGCGACAGGGGTCTGCCTCGCACAGGAAGGCATCTCTGTGAGGTGCTGCCCAGGGGAGTCGCAGACCCCTGGAGGGGAAGCAGAGTTCCTGGTTCCAGCAACGCTGGGTGGGACGCTCCTTCTGAAGCGCTCTCTTCAATTACGGGTGCACCCTGAGGTGAGAGCCTTCCGCTTTCATTCACACAACTGGGCCGTGACCGCGCACTGGTCGGGGAAGTGTGCTCCTAGGGCGCGTGTGGCAGACCTGCAGGGGCTGCACGGGGCGCTGCGCACGGCAAGCCGGCAGGGACAAGCAGCAGAGCCTCTGCCCAGCTGCCAACACCAAGATTCAAAAAGAGAGAGAAATCTCTGATGATGTCTCCGATAGGGAGGGGGCTGGGGCCGGCCTACTAGGAAATCCCTTGACTGACAGTGACAAGCAGCATTAGCAGGGCTGCCTGAAGACATCGGTGTGAGCACCAAGGGAAAGTCGGCCAACAGGACACTCCCACCTCTGATGTCTGTCACACCCAGATCCAGAGAGCTGGGACGAGGAGACCAGGAGCAGGCAACTTTGAATTTTCTGCCCTGGGTCTCGCCTCTGTGTCATACCCTGGGACTCCCAACATATCAGACTGCAAGGCAAGATGGCTCCTGAAATGGGAAGGTGAGCAGGAGACGAGCTGCGTGAGGGATCCCGGGAGCCAGTTAGTAAAGGATAGAGATGATTTCTTCCAAATACGCCCCAGAATCACGACCCACCAGAGGCGGCCCACGGTGAACCCAGCCTGACCTCAATCGCACTCATACCACATCCAAGCCAAGGGAAACAAACCTGAGACCGCTAACTCACAGAGAAACAGCACAGTAACCAATCAGCTACTGAGAGGTAAATGCTACAACAATGTGGGGAACCAAAAAACACATTAAACCAGTTGAGAAGAAATAGAGAAAAACTGCTACAGGCAACTGCACAGTACTCTCTGTCACCTGCAGCTGCCTTTAGCTTGGGCACACGTGTGGGGTCAGGTGCATCGTCCCACCCATGGGAAGTGACTGCGAAAGTGGAGGTGGGTGGGCTGGACCAAGTCTTGGAGCCTCACCTACGATAGGGGCTGGTACCCTGTACACCGCACAGGACTTCCTGGCTATTCCTCATGCCGTCATGGCTGCTCCCAGGAAGCCTGCAGCGCTGAGCAGGAACGACATGCAGAGAGCCCAGAACTTCAGGAGCCTCTGAGTGGGTAATGAAGGTCCCTGCCAGGCTCTTCCCGGCACTCTCCAGGCAGAGAGGGCTGCAGAGCGGTGAGGGACCAGTCTCGAAGCCACTGGGGCAGCTCTCCAGAGATGGGGTGCACAGCCCTGTTCTACCGCAGTGCGAGACTTGTTGAGGAGCAGTTTTCGAGTTTAAACACACTTCAGGCATCCACCTCCTGCGATGGCAGGCCTTAGTCCACATCTTCCACTCTATATGAAGACTAACTTGGTCTGTACACTTAAATGTAAAAAAAATCATACTGGGCTGGCGCTGTGGAAGCATCCCATATGGGCACCAGTTCGCGTCCTGGCTGCTCCACTTCCAATCCAGCTCTCTGCTATGGCCTGGGAAAGCAGTGGAAGATGGCCCTGCACCCACGTGGAGACTTCCTTGTGGGAGGAAGCTCTTGGCTCCTGGCTTCAGGTCGGCCCAGCTCCGGCTGTTGCAGCCATCTGGGGAGAGAACCAGAGGATGGAAGACCTCTCTCTCTGTCTCTGTCTATGCCTCTCTGTAGCTCTGCCTTTCAAATAAGCAAATAAATCTTAAAAAAAAAAAGTCACATATAAACCTGGGGGAGAAAAGAAACGACAAAGTCTTTGCCACCAGAGTAAGGAACACATTTCTTAGACATGTCACCAAAGGCAAACAATGGATAAACTGGACTTTGTCAAAATCTAAAACATCAACTCTTCAAAGATGTTGCTAACAAAAATGAAGAAAAAGGCACAATCTAGAAGAAAAGATTTGCAAAAGACTCAACAGAACTTATATCCAGAATCTATAAAGAACCCTCAAGGCCCAGCAAGAAGGAGATAAACAGCCCAGTGAACAGACAGGGAGAAGATCTGAACAGACACTTCACTGGAGAGACATGGATGGCCGACAATCACCCGAGAAGACGCTCAACACTGGCAGTCGTTATGGAAACAAAAGCCCGAGCCCCAAGGAGACGCCACTTCACACCCACCAGGATGGCTGAGAGAGCCAACAGACAGGCGCAGAGACTGGGACCTCAGCCTGCAGGGGGCGCTGCACCCGACAGTCCCTTTGAAAAAGTGTCTCAGCTTCTTACAAAGCCAAATACACGATCACCATAGGACTCAGCGATCCCACTCCTAGACACTCGCTGAAAAGAAATGAGAAGAAACAAAACCCTGTACACAAATGCTTACAGCAGCTGTGTTCTAAGTTGCCAAAAACTAAACGCACTCCATGTGAGGAACGGATAACCAGCGACGTGTCTACAAAAGGAAACGCCACTCAGCAATACAAATGAGTGGATGGAGATGGCAATGGCAGGAATGCCAAAGGCACCACGCTCAATTACAGCACTTACAAGAAAGGCTCAAAAGGCTATCTGTGTCTGATGTCATTCACACAACACTCTGGAAAAGGCAAAATTACAGTGACAGAAAGCAAATCATTCGTTGCCAGGAAGGGGCTGCCTAAAAAGGAGCATGAGGGAATTTTCTGGAATGACAGAACTGCTCTATATTTTGATCACAGTGATGGTTATAATGGGGACTTTAAAAGTTCATGAAAAATGAAATAAAACATTTTATTTGGGTGCAAAAAATTTGAAATCCACACGTAGGTTTTTTGTAACACACATTTTTCATTAACTTTCTGAAGACTCCTTGAATGCATGAATTCCAAAATTTGGGGGACCAAAATAAGCTTATTTCACTGCACTCCCCTGCCCTTTCTGAAGTAGCCTCATATGACTGCACACACTGGCCACAGCTCTTCAGGATGCACATGTACCCACAAAGGCGGGTTTTCATACCCATTCTCTCTTAATACAGCTGACCTGCAGAAGGTTTTACGGATGTTGCAAAAAAAAAGGAAAATTTTCATATGAACTATTATGATAATGATTTGATCAAGAATGTCTAAAATGGGGAAAAACAGATAAAAGTTGTATACAGTATGTGATGTCAAATGTGTAGAAAAATGATAGGTAAAGTAAAAATACTTGTGAATAGAGTATCAAGTGTTAGGACTGTGGTGTTTAAATTTCTTCTGTTTTCCAAATTCTTACAGTGAGCCTATTCTTTTATTGACAGAAACAACAACATGAAGATTAGTGCACTCACAATGTGATGCGTCTGCCTCTTGGGCCGCCCAGCTGGCCGGAGCAGAAAGGAAGAGACGTCCCTCCCCAGGTGAGCCCAGCAGGGAACCTAAGAAACTGCACAGCATGCTGGGGATAGAACTCTCCTTTGGGGAGCGGTCCCGGGGGCTGTACCTAGGAGAGCTCACCAGCGCAGGGACGCGGGTGGGTGTCCCACACTTAGAAGGCGGAGCCCCCTGGGGGCTGCCTCCTGTGCCCCCTACAAGCAGAAAACCGTGCTTTCATTTAACAATTAAAAGGCTCATCGGGAGGTCCCTGCACTTGGCCAGCCCGGTCTCTTAGGTGACTAACAGCAGCGACTGTGTATTTTGTTTCTGACTTTAACGAGGCCTGGAAGGGTGTGAGGAGATTCCTGCTCTAAGTAGGCTCTAGGTTTTTATACTGTAACCCTCAGGGTTTAAGCTTGAAAAGTTCAGCAGCTTAGTCAAGACTCCAGTAAAACTCATGGCTCCCGGCAAACATTTAAAGGTCTCGTGTGCTGTGTTTTAAAGGTTAGGGCGGGCGGATGACCTGGATTGACGTCTCCATTTACAGTAAAAAAACACAAACCATGAAGAGGCAATGTCTCTTCCTTCTGTTCCCCCTCTGTGGCACCCCAGCTGTTGGGCTGTCCAGGGGTATTTAGAGAATGGTCAGCCCCTGGAACTCTATGCTCGGCAAGCACAAGTCTCCCTTGGAAATCCATCAATCCCTACAGAGCTTATTCTAGCACACACGGCACCGGGAGTATGCTCCTTCGTGCTGGGAGGAAGAGGAGCCAGCACGGCCACGCAGCACCAATCAGGACAACTACAAAGGAGGGGACTTGCACTGTCCATCCACTTCCTGAAAGCGGAACGGAAATGGCTACACTTGAGAGAAAGCATCTGCTGCACACGTGACGTGTACACAGAACACGGGTCTGGAGGCAGCCACCTCCTGGATTTCTACTGAATGACTTCGTCATGTGACAGCCCAGCTTCGTCACTGTTTCTGACCTACAACGACTGCAAGAAATACCTGCTCCCACGACGCACATTCCGGATAAATGTCAGCCACCGCAGGGCGGTGTGGGGCATGAGTCTTGCAGCCAGAAGCCCTCTGCACACCAGCCACATGCCTGCCATACACCTTGACTCTGCCTCAGCTTCCTCTATGCCTTACCAGGTGTTTGTAAGGACTGGGAAGATAATAATAAATGCTGTTCTAGCACAACATCTTAAACAGTGTAAACCCAATAAATGGTTATTTCTTTTGCTCCTTATGTCACGTTGTTACCTGGAATGGGGAACAGCACTGTCACAGAATCTTAGATATAGAAATGCATAGCTAAGCAAACGACAGCTTTGTGGGCACTTGTTAAGCATCAGCTGTCCTAGGGTTGCTACAGCATATAGTAGTCCCTGGTCCTTGTCGCTGCTACTTCTTCCTTGGAAGACAGAAGACTCCCGCCAGTGGGGTCCTGCCTTGTACGTTGTTCACACTGCCCCGTCAGTGCTGCCATCTGTCAAGGGGGTCTCCCAAGCACCTGGGCTCAGGGCCAAGGCCTCAGAACGTTTCCTGTGGGACGCAGTGGCCACAGTGCACCCAACACGCCAATGCATGCCCCAGCTCCTGGTGCACTCCCAATGCCTCTGAGAGCTTAACACAGACCCTTAACAGGGTTTTGAACTTTGTACACTCTCTCTTATAGGGGCTTATTTAAATAACTGAGCAAGCAAAATTGGTTGATTCACCAGGCAGCACCTGATACGCTGACCTACATCCTGCTGATACTAACAGGATTCAACGTCCGAGCCAGGTGACAAGGAGCAGTAATGTCCCAGCTGGCACTGTCAGGAGGTCTGCCTGGGAGAACGGTGCTGCAGAAGAAAGCCCAAGTCTCTCAAGCTCTCTGACTTAATTCAACGTTGTCAAGACGTCTCTCTCTTTTTCTTTTTAGGTCGCACTGACAAAGATGAACAGAGCCTACGGGTTTTTTTTTTTTTTTTTTTTTTTAAAGCTCAAATCTCGCAGCAGTGACAGCTTTAATGTCAATGGGAGGGGAAAAAAACCCTACTTTATTACAGTATTATAAATCCAAAACCCTAAATAACTTATAGAAAGCTTTCACTTAAAACAATGAAAGCTATAAAAGGAACTAACTTATTATTGCAGTCTATTATTTCATATTTTAACTTTAGTATTTTTAACATTACACCAATATAGAAGGGAAAAAGCCAAAAACCTGGTCCTTGTAATACATACACTGAGAGACAGGGATACAGACGGGGAAAAGCACTATCCCATCCCCCCACATCAAGCACACTCTCTAAGGCTAATGTCTCCTAATTAATATTTCTTGAGCACGCACAATGAGACACTGCCAGCAACCCATCATGTCCAACCACTCAGGATGCTACAAGGTTACAAACTTCTCCAAAATGTGGGGAAACCAGGGAGGCCACGCCAGGGAGCTGCCCAGGTTCAAGGAGACAGCTAAAATTGACAGTCAAGGCTTCAGACAAGAATGTAAGTTTTCTGCTAAAACTAAGCTTTAGGATATTGTATGAAAAGCATATAAAACAATTCTGCTATTTCTGTGATCTCATTAATATCAGTAAGATTCAGAAAATTCCCTACACGCCACACGCACAGGAGGAACTCGTGAGAGCAGAGTGAGGCGTCAGCTGGGCTGTGAATGGCTTCCGCAGCAGGACTGCCGCCTTGCTCTCTGGTCTGGCTGTGAGCGCCGCTAACCACAACTGCCACCACCCGACGTGGGACAAAGGAGAACGAGGATGACTCCTATCCCGAGTGCACAGACCCTAATCTCAGGTCAAAGCACTGGCTCCCTTATGGGAGATTAAGGGCCCTGCCGCCTTAGGCAATTCATGTACGCTTTGGGCCTCATAAAATGGACATAAAAGGACAATAGTGGGTAGCTCAGAGTCCTAAAATGGACAATGATGAGTACCTCAGAGAACTGAATGAAGGAATTTCTGTCGAGCAGTCAGAGCGGTCCTTACACACAGCAAGTACTCCATGAGTACTGCCAGTTTCCGCCATCCCGCCTGCTGCCTGGCCCTGCCACGGCTGGACGTTGCTCAGCACCACGGGACAGCCTCTCAGACTTGCTGACGGATAAGCGAGCCCCTTTCTGGTCTCTTGCTCTAGCACCACATAGGACCCACGTCCCAGGGGCTGAGTTAGGACTGGGATGGCCCACAGCGTGCCTATAGGGTGGACAGGACGTGGGGTCCGGCTGCAGGCCTGGCTTCTCTTTCCGCTCTGCTGCGTGCTAGCTGTGAGCACCTGCTCCAGCGCTCTGAGCCAGGCAGCCACATCACCACAGGAGGGAGGCTGAGCCCCTCCCTCAGGGCTGCTGTGAGAATGACACGAAGTGAGGAGACCAATCGCTCCTGCTACAGCGTCTAGCATGTAGTATGTTCCCAACATGTGTTCATTTCCTGTTTCCTTGGCTTCTTATATAATTCTGCTTAGAAGAGAAATCCAGGTTGCCTGGGGTTTCGCTGGGAACAGAAAAAGCTCTGCTACTGAAAATAATGTGTCAGGGTAGGCGTCTGGGAGAATTTAAATGCACATTTTAAACACTGAGGCTATATTCAACACATGAGGGAACTCACTAAGCCACGCCCACACAGGAGAGAGATGACCGCGATGGACCGCCTGTCTTCAGTGAGACCCCGCCGGCCATATGCTGCCACAGCCAGGCTTTTCAGAATTTCTCTGATGGACTCAACCCTAAAAACACCCCATCTGCTAGCGGACCACCTGGGCTTTGCCACCATGGGAAGCTGTGCCAGAGCGCTGCCCCGGAGTGCTGAGTTTCCAGGGTGGCTCAGCAGTGTGCAACCCCAGGGTTTGCCAAGATCCAATACAAACCTGCTGGCGAGAGTTCCTTCTTCATCCTTTTACATTTCTTGGCTTTTTTCCTGCCCTCTGAGAGGGATTCTGCACAGGAATCTGACTGCTCCTGCTCGGGGTCGGAAATCTCCCCCAACACGCTGTCCTCCGAGCCGCCTTCTCCTTGAAAAGGACTCAGATTTCTCTTTACTGCTGTGCTGGTAGCTGTCAAACTGAAATGCAAAAAGTGGAGCAACATGAAAGGTGGTAAGAATAACAGCAAGGCCAGCCCATAAAAATATTTTAATACTCCTTAAATCTATGAACACTCAAGCAGCAATCAGCAAACACAGGCAGCTGCTGCCTATAAAAATTAAGAGACCATGTTAAGAACCAACATGTAAAAGTATGCCCATGACAAACATTCAAGGTAAAGTGCTCCATTATGCTAGTGCACAGATATGAGGGTACTTCAGAAAGTTCATGGACAACGTATAAGCCTGAAAAAACTGCATGATTTCAAGTTCTTTTTGACATGAAAATACACTTATCTTTGAATTCCCCCTTTTCCGTGCTGCCCTTAGTGTTAAGAACAAAATTGTAAAGACAATTCCCGGTCTCTGTTTTGGTAAAGCTACTGTAACAGAAGAGTATTACTAAATAGGAGCAGTACTATAATAGAATAACAGTTCTGATAACATTAAACCAGAAGACAGACTCCATGACTGCCTAATAGACACACGAATGGATTCCTCACCAGTCGGCTATGGCACTGCTCAAAACTAGAACCCAGCAAGAGTGTACCACGCCCACATGCAAAGCTCTTGTTTCCAAAATGGCAACTTGCTACTTAAAGTTAAACCTGGTTTCACTTTTTTCTAAGATTTATTTGAAAGGCAGAGTATATGTGTGTGTGTATATTAGAGAGAGAGAGAGACAGACAGACAGACCAACCCGCATGAGAGACCAGGAGGAGGCACCTGGTTGCTGGCTTCGGATTGGCACAGCGCACTGGCTGTAGTGGCCATTTTGGGGGTGAACCAATGGAAGGAAGACCTTTCTCTCTGTCTCTCTCTCACTGTCTAACTCTGCCTGTCAAAACAACAACAACAACAACAACAACAACAACAACAAAAACAAACAAGAGCTTCATCTGGGTCTCCCTCGTGGGTGCAGGGCCCGAGCACTTGCACCATCTGCTGCTGCATTGGCAATGAGCTGGACTAGACCTGGAGCAGTCAGGGCTGGAGCTGTTGCTAATACAGGATGCTGCTGTCACAGGTGCTGGCTTAGCCCGCTGCACCACAACGCCCCCCCCCCCCCCAGTTTCACTTTAAAAACCCTTCAGAATTTGACATGTTGAATTAAATCAGATGATGTACCCTGAATTTTCCCCTTAAAGAAATATGTTCCTGAAATATAACTTGATAAAAACAGCCACACGACCAGTGTCTCCTGTCTCTGCTAACTGGGTCTTATAAATAGATTTTTTTTTTTTGACAGGCAGAGTTAGACAGAGAGAAAGGTTTTCCTTTGGTTCACCCCCCAAATGGCCACACTGGCCAGAGCTGAGCCGATCTGAAGCCAGGACCCAGGAGCTTCTTCTGGGTCTCCCATGTGGGTGCAGGGGGCCAAGCATATAGGACCATCTTCTGCTTTCCCAGGCCATCAGCAGGGAGCTGGATTGGAAGTGGAGCAGCCAGGACTCAAACCAGTGCCCATATGGGATGCTGGCATCAGAGGCAGATGTTTAACCTACTACACCACAGCGCTGGCCCCCATCAATAGATTTTCTAAAAATTATAGCCCCCCTGGGGCCGGTTCTGTGGTGCATTGGTTAGGAGACTGCCTGCATCGCCCTCAAGTTATGCAAACCAGAAAAAAAAAAAAAAAATCAAGGCATTGTGTGTTAGGGAGGCCACTGGAGCAGAGAAGGCGGTGGAGGAGAAAAGAAGAGAACACGTGCCTCTTAGCCTTCCTAGAAGGCGAACACTTAAGAATGCTCCAAATGAAACACTCCGCGCCCTCCACGTAGCTCCTGCTGTCGCATCTTTTCTATGCCTGACGACTGCACATGACAATTCACGCTGGTGAAGAAGGAAAAGAATCAACTGCTCCCCTGGTGGTTCTGCCAGGTCTCAGAAAGCCACAGAAGCAGAAGAGACGGGAGCCCGGGCCTCGAAGACGGGCTGGCTAGCCTTCCAAGTGTCTTCTTTCTTACATCTGTGAGTAGAGCTTTTAGAAACTCCTCTTGTTACCGAACGGCCATGAGAACAGGGAAGATACCTATGGCAATGTTTTGGGGAAACTTAAAAATCCATGTGAAAGTCACTGGTTAAAAACTGCTAATACCTTCAAAATGGTGTGTGTTTTTTTTTTTTTTTTTTTTTTAGAAAAATTTATTTAGTTAGTTGAAAAGCAGAATGTCTCTCTCCCTTCCCTTCTCTCTCTTGCTCTGACACACACACACACACACACACAGAGATCTCAAGATCTATCCATCCATTGATCCACTTCCAAAGTGGCTACAACTGTCAGGTCTGGGCTAGGCCAAAGCCAGAAGCCAAGAACTTCATTCAGGTCTCCTACATGGGTGGCAGGGGCCCAAGTACTTGGGCGATTTCCCATTGCTTTCCCAGGCACAGTAGCAGGGAGCTGGATTAGAAGCACAGTAACTGGAACTTGACTGGCACTCTGATCTCTGATATGGGACACCAGTGTCACAAGCAGTGACACTGTAATTCAGGCCACCTAAAAAAAAAATTTTTTTTTTAAGGCTTGGAAACAGTTTGGCTGATTTCAAAAAGTTTAAAAAATTCTGAAAGTATGCAGGGTCTTCAAAAACTCATGGAAAACACATATTATATTATGTGCTTTCAAAAGTTTTTTTTGCACCAAAATATATCAAGCTATTTTTAAAAAATGTTTGTTTTAATTATTTGAAAAGGCAGAGAGACAGAGACACCCCCCCCACCCCCATCTGCTGGTTCACTCCAAAAATGCCTCCAACAGCCAGCACTGGGCTGGGCTGAAGGCAGGAGTTGGGAGCGCAATCTGGGTCTCCTGTGTGGGTGTCGGGAACCCACACCTGAGCCTTGCAGGGTGCACATCAGCAGGAATCTGGGATCAGGAGTGGAGACAGTACCAGAACCCAG